TGTATTGATAAGGAGTTATCACAAAGTAAGTCTGATTGGTTGCGCTATCTTACAATCAATATATAGTAAATGTAAGTTAAAGTGTCGCCGATGTAACCGGTTAAAACTTGGGAGTGGCGATGAGTTCTTAAAATGTATGGAAAGAGTCTTAAAAAGGTATTAAATTTAACTCCATGATTCCTGTATATACCCTGGTAAAGCCGGTTCTGTGATTAGTAGTAAATTAGGGCTGGGTTTTGACACAAATTTCACGATTTGATTCTCATTCACAAGCTTGCGATTCAATTACCGATTCGATATCGATTATTTTGGATATATATCAGGTACAGTACATGCAAAATTTTCTTAAGGAAAAAAAAATCTCTCAACTAAAATATACATGAGAGTCAGTTGGTACAACATTACTATAATATTGAAGGTTAAAATTGACTGATTTGTTAAAATTACACTTAATGAAGTTTTAAAATACTAGTTACAATTACATAATATTTCTACAATTCGTTTTTTTGAAATATAAACAATGGTGGCTGTCATAAAAACTTGATGGATTTATTGAAACAAATTAAACCGTCAACAAGCCCCTTTAACGTGTATTAACGTGTATCGTATTGTGTGTATGTCTATTTAAAAAGGTGCAGAGAAAGCATACAATTGTGTTTTAATCTGTCTTATATTATAATAAACTGCGTTATGAATTATCAAAACTTTTAATTTGCCCTGCATGGCATCTGACGCAACAACATAAAGGAATGACAAAGTATTTATTTGTTTATTTGAGAATGGTCCAAAGAACATCTTATGCATCTAATTTTCTTAGAGCATCTTATTTTTTTTTTTTTGAATGCTCCTAAAACTTACTCTTTCTTTTCAGGTAACAATATGTTCTTTGTCTAGTTTCATGCTTAGTCAATAAAGTTTGGAGTGAGAGATAAAAGGATTTAATTAAATTGTAAATTTGCAAGTTCAAATGTTATACTTAGATAAAGGTCCAATAAAATTTGTAATAATTATTTGAATACTTGCCAATTAATAGGGTTAAACTTAATATAATCTTTAGTCGGAGGGTTTGATTTTGGCAAATGTTCTCTCTGTAAATAATACGTTACAATAAAATAAATAAAGGCATGTCTGCTGTATTAATTAATGGAGTTGTATTTAAGGTTAAAATTGACTGATTTGTTAAAATTACACTTAATGAAGTTTTAAAATACTAGTTACAATTACATAATATTTCTACAATTCGTTTTTTTGAAATATAAACAATGGTGGCTGTCATAAAAACTTGATGGATTTATTGAAACAAATTAAACATCGAAGAACAGTAAAATGTATGTTATATGGTCCATATATTTAAAGGGGTCATATGGTGCTTTTTTAAAGATCATTATTTTGTGTATTTCGTGTAACAGAATATGTTGACATGCTTTAATGTTTAAAAAATACAATAATTCTTTAATTCTTTTTCAAATACTGTACATTATTGTAGGTCCACTATGCCCCGCCTCTCTCAAACGCTTCGTTTTCAACAAAGCCCCCTCCTTCCGACAAGCGCAGTCTGCTCTGATTGGCCAGCTGACCCAGTGCATTGTGATTGGCCGAACACTGCAAGCACTCGTCGGAAATGTAACACCCCTTACCATAATCACGAGCTTCATCTTTCAAAATAAATGTAAAGACAGTAAATAATGTCATTAGTTTTACCATCAGTTCAAGCCCGAAAAGGGAACAGATACAGTAATGATGCAGTACACAAGCCGCGGTTAAGACAGCTGACTCTACTGTGATGTGACGCTGTCCGTCTCTCTCACACACACACACACACACACACACGCACGATGCGCAAAACTCCGCATTTGAACAGTCAATAGCAAATACTTAAACTAATAACAAAACATACTTACAGTCGCTGATTCAGAAGCGCCAGATTGTCAAAGCAAAGTCAGAATTACCTCCTCTCCTAGGTTCATGAAGTGTATCAGTCACTCAGGATTAGTTTTTAAGATACGTGTATGTAAATACATTTTTACTTCATTTGTTATCTGCAATGTTAATGGTCTTTATGGGCAGGATAAGCGATATATTGAAATCGTTTAGTGTGTGTGTCTGCTGCGCACTGACGACAGAACTGATCCATCACAAAATATATTTCTTTATGTATGTAATTATGCAGGAAATTAGGGTTGGGCGATGTCTACCAAATTGGCATCGGACGGTGTCTAGAGTGAAACACCGCGATGGACGGTGACATCAGTGAGTGGGGGCGGGATTTCCATCATCAGAAGTCTCCGCGCGCACAGTCCGCGTGCAGCCCAATTTTTGTGACCGCAAAAACGAAACACACAGCGTCTCCACGACATGGCAGCGGCGGCAACAACAATACTACAGCGAGAATAAAAAATTACGCCTTCTTTCTTTGCGTGAACATTTGGGCGGCGTTATGCAAATCTTCCCACATCGTGACGTAGACATGTGGGGGCGTGTTAGAACGAGCCGTTTTAGGAGGGTGTGGCTGACTCTGAACTTTTATAAAGAATATCTCTTTGGATTTGAGACTTTAGTCTTTGCAACTTTGCAGATCTTCTTTACTCAACAAGAGCTTGTAGCACTCCAAAGAGAAAGGAAAAATTTAAATCGCATCATATGATCCCTTTAATTCAATATAATTAGGGAATACCAATATGGCGGCGCGGTGGCTTCACGTTTATGACGTCTCGAGCGATCCAGTTCTCTTTTATAGATCAGTGCTTCCACCACGTTTCCTGCCCTGGCTAATTCGACCAATGATACGATATTATTACTGCTGTATTTATCCTCAGCTCGATGTTTGAAACCGTGAGACAAATTAAAGCCATTTTGCGCGTTATTTGAGGCGAAATATTTGAAAGCAGGTCACAGCAACAATGTGTTTGTCAAACGTGAACTAATAGCGTCAGCAAACTATGTAGCAGATGGATGTGAAATACCTGCTTCGACTTTGACTGCGCAGCCGATCCCTTCTTCCTCAAAACTGTCACTGTATCCCAGTCACTCTCTGCCATGTTGTCGACAATTATTTGTAGAAGTGTTTGGTTTTTAGACAACAACGGACCGTTCAACTTCTCGGGCACGTCCCCTGCTCTTTATGCTGCTGACCTAAACCGGATATACGTCACGATGAGGCAGGCACACGTCAACAAGCCCCTTTAACGTGTATTAACGTGTATCGTATTGTGTGTATGTCTATTTAAAAAGGTGCAGAGAAAGCATACAATTGTGTTTTAATCTGTCTTATATTATAATAAACTGCGTTATGAATTATCAAAACTTTTAATTTGCCCTGCATGGCATCTGACGCAACAACATAAAGGAATGACAAAGTATTTATTTGTTTATTTGAGAATGGTCCAAAGAACATCTTATGCATCTAATTTTCTTAGAGCATCTTATTTTTTTTTTTTTGAATGCTCCTAAAACTTACTCTTTCTTTTCAGGTAACAATATGTTCTTTGTCTAGTTTCATGCTTAGTCAATAAAGTTTGGAGTGAGAGATAAAAGGATTTAATTAAATTGTAAATTTGCAAGTTCAAATGTTATACTTAGATAAAGGTCCAATAAAATTTGTAATAATTATTTGAATACTTGCCAATTAATAGGGTTAAACTTAATATAATCTTTAGTCGGAGGGTTTGATTTTGGCAAATGTTCTCTCTGTAAATAATACGTTACAATAAAATAAATAAAGGCATGTCTGCTGTATTAATTAATGGAGTTGTATTTAACATACATTTCTAACTTTTATAATTATTACTTTGTTAATGTAAAATTTGTCTGAACCTACAAATGTACAATTTAATTGAATCCTTTTATCTTTATTTATTGACTAAGCATTAAACTAGATAAAGAAAACAAACAGTAGCCTAAGTTGTAAAACTAGAGGCCAGTGAAAATTATTTATAAATAGCATGTATTTTTGCATGTATGAGTGTATGATTGATTGATTTTAATTTATCTTTATGTATGTATTTATTTGTTTGTTTATTTTCATTTGTGCTTTTTGGAAACAAATGATCAATTTTTCATTATGTGTCATGAGGTGTTTTGTGTAACGGTTCTTGTAATCTTAACGAACAATTGTATTTTTGTTCTACTGAATATTACTTTAATACCTTTAAGAATTTTGCTCAGTCTGCAATGGAATTTTGCTCAAAGAAACTCTATGACCAGGATCTGTAGAGAAACAAGAGGTTTCCTCTTCCATTATACAATTATAAGTATACATTCATTATACATTCATTACACTTCATGGGATTTTTCAATAGTGTATGAAGCTTATTAAACAAAAATCAACTCTGTCAGTAGTGAGCAGTATTTACATGTGTGTATGTATGTAAGTAGGTCACAGGACCCATTGCTGGGTTTCTAATAGTTGGTAGCATGAAGATGGACTGACCCCTGCTGGTATTTATAGACTGCTGAGTCAGGGTCAGGCACTGGCAGATCACTGCTATAAGCAAAAGAGGGTGCATGGGGAGACTGACATTGACAGCTGCTCAAATATTAAGCTACCATTTCAATAAAAGCTTCTGTAGCACATTTATGTAAAACAAGAAATATAAATACAATGCGTGTTTGTAGTATTTTTATCACATCAACTTTCAAGAAAGTAATAAGACTTTTGTTGTCTCTCATTTACCATCTGTGGATGTTTACTCATCATAACAGCTTCTGAGATAATCTAGAGAATTTCTTGAAGTTTTTTACTGTTATAATGTACAAAGTTGCCATCATGTTCCATAAGCTGTGTTTAATTCATATCGCATCATCATATGATTATAGATACCCCTACAGTTGTAAATATTAATCTCTGCATTTTCAGGCATGAAGAATCCCAAAAAAAAGTTAAATTATCACACACTAGCATACACACATAATCACAGTATTTTAAGTTTACTCAAAATTAATAAACCCTGTTGATAAAAGATAACAGATGTACAACTTGTTTAATTTATGTATCATTTATGCTTTTTTTTCAATCTGTACAGCATTATAAGATGTTCGGTTTACAACAATCATGTATCAAATTCATTGAAGGGATTGATTTATTTCCGGAAGGCCCATACCATACATAACACTGCTGTGGAAATCATACAAAATGGCACATCTGGGGCTTGCAGCGATTGGAATTAAACAACATACAATTTCATATAAACAATGTTGCAATTTTGGGTAAAAGTGAAAAATGTGCTTGAAATGTTCCGTTTGAATGCTTATTCAGAGTATCATGAAATATCAGTACACTTGAATTTAAACAGTCCAAAAAGTCTCAAATTATCCATGGTGGTTTCATTTAAAGCATTTTCTCAAATGCATTGTTAATAGTATGAAAATTACATACAATTCCAAGAAAATAGAAATCTGAAATGACTCATTATGCTGCTTGATAAAGTCCCTGAGCAAATGTTTCGCTCGCTTACTGTGATCAGTAAAATCCATCAACCAACTAATTTGGCCTTCACCACTGTTAGCAATAAAAAATACTTGTATCAGCATCCTTTCTTTTAAAGTGAAAAACTGTGCACCTGACGCTTTTCCAAAGCGCTTCTCGTTATATTGCTTTGGCAGAATTGGAACAAGAAATGGTCAGATCAAGATTATGGATGTGTGCTGCTTAAGGTAATGTGTTAGAAAATGTTTCTATCACACACTTTTTAGAATAGATGTAGGGCAATTGACATGAATTGACAAAAAATAAAAACACACGGCGACTTTTGAAATCCTTCAAAAGACATACTGATCAGTAGAGGGGGCTCCAGTTGAATGTTCCAATGGATATTAGAGTCTGACAAGTGTTGGAGGACAGCCACACCATCTCCACTAAACTGTAATGAAGGAATCCCAAGGCAAAGCCACATCCGACATCTGTCAGATGGTGACGACCCAGCAACACACGGGACATGCTAACTAGGACTGCCCATAACACAAGCAAAATACGCAGAGGAACTGCAAGCACCAAGTGTGCCAACAGGAATTTAGATACCATGGCTGCTCGGCTTGCATGGGCTGCTGGGAAAGAATAGATGTCCATGGCCAGGTAGTCAAGGAAACTGGGCGCCATTTCCCACGGCCCTTTGCGCTTCACCAACTTCTGCATGCCTGCTACAGTCATCACATCCAGTAAGAGTGCTGTAAAGCAATGATATTTACATTTATGTTATAAAGCAAAATCAGACTCACAAGAATGTTTATGGCTGTGATTTGGCCACAAGTCATCACACCTGTCATGGTATGTAAGGGATAATGTACATCCAGCCGGTTGTTATCTCAGAATAAACCCCGACAAGGTGATCAGGATCTTGTATCAGCCTGAAGGGGTTTATTCTGAGATAACAACCGGCTGGATGTACATGATCCCGCTTATTATACGGCTACTTGCCACATAAGTAAATAATTAGACGCGAAATATTGATTTGAGTTGAAATATTTGAACGCAAAGCTTCCGTGAACACAACAGTTGCGAGAAAGTTGTGGACATAATTAAATAATTGTACACTATTTTGAATATTTTATTAGCTAAACAAACGCAAAGCTTCCACCAAGAAAAAATAGTTCACGAAAGAGTAGAGCGGCCGACTGCTGTTACCCGGATGAGCCCGTGTTATTAGCTTTTACCGGTTGTTATCGAGGGATAGCATACCTCGGAATGTCGCGACTGACCAATCAGAATCAAGTATTCCACAGAGCCGTGTAATAAACAGCTATAACACACTCTTGCGAGTGTAATATTGCTTTTATATAACAATTCAAAGGATAAGCATGTAAATAAGTAAGGAAAAATCAAGGAATGCTCGAAAGACCCTCTACTTTCTTATGTCCAATGTGTCTCCACTACTAATTTATAAATATCATGTTAGAACTAACGGAATAACTTGAGCCGTTTAGATTTATTGGATGTTCGATGACATCCATGCTAAAATGTGATTGGTTATCAAAGCATATGTGATCCAAGCTAACCTTTAAGCTTTCCCCAATGGCTGAGCTCAAGAGGTTGGTATCTTCCCATAATAATAGGAACATCTCTGGCAAGACTGATATTTCAATCTTTATATTTGACACATTCACAGAGCGCAAGATTGCAGTAATAAATGTATTCAAGCTTGAAATCGTGAATGCCAAAGAGACTACTATAAAACACTAAATAAAGATTTACATCACTTCAGAGACATGCATTAAACCAATGGATTACTTTTACATTACAGTCATGAGCTTTTTGGAGCTTCAAAGTTTTGGTCGCCATTCACTTGCATTGTATGGAGCTATTGTGATGAAATATTTGACTTGAAATCTTCATATGTGTACTGCAGAACAAATAGGCTAAAGTCGTATACATCTGGGATGGCATGAGGGCGAGTAAATGATGAGAGAATATTCATTTCGGGTTTCAGTTTCAATTCAGTTTCGTTAAAAGAAAGTAGTAAAGATAATCATTTCTAGAGTATAAATAAAAAGCGTTTCTGAGTGTAATGAGCTAGTCACATGCATCTCTCAGTCAGAACACTTATCCTTGTATTCCCTCATCCACTGACCTACAAACCCAACAGCATCCTCACAAGCTGATAAAAACCCTGAGTATGAGCACAATGGGGTTTCAAATTGATATCAAAATCATCTGTGCTTGACATACCTGATCACAATTACAATCTTACACATAAATATTTTCATTCTCAGTTATGTACATTGCATTGATTTTAAAGTCATTTGAATTAAATACTTCATATGTAAACAGTGGGAGTGTGGGACACAAATATACATCACATTTAAATCCTTGTACACCTTTCAGATAGAGCTTTACAAATACAAAAAAAGAGCATTATATAGGCTACCCAACACTGAAGTTATTTCTTGAAATTGTCCTAAATGATCCTAAAATCAATATATAAAACGAGAATGTACTATTTCTGTCAGACACTCGGTCTATGGTGGCTGACATGGAGATATTTCTCAATCATAGTAGCATATGCGACCAAAATAGCAATGTTTATATAGCCACAGACTCTCGTTCACAGACATTCGGACGCTCTCCAGAGAGCCAGTAGGCTATTTCACTCCTTGTCAGAAATGCGTTAAAGCTCACCTAGCAGCAAATTGACCAAAACCTCTTGACCCGCCAACGTGTTGCTTCTAGTAAGACACACAATTGTGCCGAAGATCCACGGGATGCCATGGCCAGTGAGCGCGAGCAGCTTGACCATAGAGCGCACGCTTCCCCACGACGACGCGGTGTGCGCACACACTCCGAGCCGTTTAGACATGCAGATATCAATGGCCAGAAGAGAGTTCATAGCGATGCCTTTGAATGACGGGTTTAGCTGCATGCAGTCTTCTTCTGGTAATTCCTTCTTCTCCTTATTGTTCTCGGGCGACTCGTGCTGCGCATTTGTGCCCGGCTGGTTTTGACTTTGCTGGTGTCTCTGCGACGGCCTCCGTGCAGTGCCGCGAGCTTCAGCGCTGCTGCTCTTCAAAGGCTGATTTAGAGACATAAACTCGGGTCTGTTCAGCGCATTGTTTCGCTCCCTTGCCCTGGATCGAGTCTGATTCGCAGGCATTTTGATTTTCTGCGGACCTTCCAGCTTAAATGAGTTTTCCTGTCCAGTTCTTCACACAGCGAGACAGTGAACGGTCTATGTCCATTCCCAGATCATGTCTTGCTCTGTTCTTAGTGTTGCGACTTCTATTCCAGTTGTACTATAAATAGACATTCCAGCCGCCTGGATACATGAGACGCATCCACATGCTGCCGAAAATCTCGATAAACAAATGGCACTCTGCTAAGATAATCACCTTATCCTTGATTTAAAAATCATTCTAATATGCTGATACTTTTTTTAAAATATTATTATCAATATTTAAAACAGTTGAGTAAATTTTTTTCAGGATTCTTTGATGAATAGAAAGATCCAAAGATCAGCATTTATCTGAAATAAAAAGCTTTTGTAACATTATACACTATACCATTCAAAAGCTTGGAGTCAGTATATTTTTTTTCTTTGAGAAAGAAATGATAGAAATTACTGCTTTTGTTTAGCAAGGATGCTTTAAATTGATCAAAAGTGATGATAAAGACATTTAGAATGTTACAAAAGATTTCCATTTCAGATAAATGCTGTTCTTCTGAACTTTTCTATTTATCAAAGAAACCTGAAAACATTCTACTCAGTTGGTTTCAACATCATAATAATAACAATAATAATAATAATAGTTTTCTGAGCAGCAAATCAGAATGATTTCTGAAGGATCATGTGAATGGAGTAATGATGCTAAAAGTTCAGCTTTGATCACAGGAATTAATTACATTTGAAAATATATTCAAATACAAAACAGTTATTTTAAATAGTACAAATATTTCAAAATTGTACTGTTTTTGTTGTACTTTGGATCAAATAAATGCAGGCTTGGTGAACAGAAGAGACTTCTTTAAGAAACATTAAAAATCTTACTGTTCAATAACTTTTGACTGGTAGTGTAAATAAAACAGTAAAAATGAGTTTGTGGTGTTGTGTTAAATTTCAGTCATTTTGACAGTAAAAGTTGACAAGCTCTCCGAT